GATCTGACCCCCTCAGCCATCTCCATCTGGGAAGATCTCACTTAGAGGGGCAGCCTAAAAGGACCCAGGTTTCCCTTCCCATCTCCTCCTGGGGCAGAGCTGCGGGGGCAACATCAGAAGATGGGCCAAGGCTGAGTCACCCGCTCCCCAGCACCTCCTTCGTGATGGTGACCCGAGGCAGGCTTCTGTTCACTGTTTCCAGTCTGAGGGAAACAGTGGGGCAGAGATGGGGCGATAAGAGGAGCTGATTCAGCCCCACTCAGTTCTGGGTAAAAGTCCCTGCTTGCTCCCCACCCCACCTTTTCCCATCTTCCTCCTACTCTTCACCTCTAGGGTCTGACTCACTTTCCATCTGGTTAAGGGGAAGGGGCTGGGGGCAGGATGGGGGTGACTTGAAGGTTATCTCATTCATCACAGTCATCCCCTTGTTACAGGGCAGGAGAGTACACCAACCAGCCCAGCCAGTGGAATATCTGGGTGCACATTTTTGACCATTCGGGAAGATTAAGGTCGATTTGAGTTTCGCTCCATAGGGGAGAGGCCCGAGGTGAGTGAGGGTGGGCAGAAACGAATATATCTGATGGGGCAGTTGGCAGCGCTGACTGGAATATCTGGGGGACACTTCCAACGGAAAGAACACCGAACTGGGACTCAAAGACCTGGGCTCAAGTCTTGGTTCTATCACGAGTGACTTTTCTGTGCCTCAGTCTCCTCGTTTGTAAAATGAAGTTGGCAACAGCTACAGCTCCAAGATCACGTGTGTGAGATTTCCACCCTAAAGAGTCGTGTGGATGCAGGAGGCTAGTATAGTAAGGACGCCTCATCCCTTAGGATAGACATCAGTATCGCTGGCCCCTTTCTACACCTGGAGAAACTGAGGCTTAGAGCAAAATGACATGTCCAAGATCCCAGGCTCCCCCACCGTACCTGAGCTCCAGGCGTCATTTGGCACCTAAACTAGGGGTGGCCCTGCCCCCACCGGGTCCCAACTGGTGGCCAACTCTGGCCCACCTGAGGCCTTGGCCCAGCCCTGAGGTCGGCGCTGAACAGGCTGCAGGGCTTCACCGAGAGCTGTCCCAGTGTGCATCCCCACCACCCACACGCCCAGCCCGAGCGCCCCCGGCCTCACCCTGACGGAGCTCCGCATGGGGCCCAGGTCATGGTTGTAGGCCTCCACTATAAGAACGTGGGACGAGTTCCGCTCCCGGTCTAGGGGCCGGGGCCCTCGCATTAGGAGCCCACTGCTGACATGGATCCAGAAGTTGTTGCCATGGTTACCTGCGTGGAGGGATAGATGATATGCATGGGCTCTGCCCTGGAGTAGGATGCCTGTGGGATTGTGGTGGTGGTGGTGGTGGGAGGGAAGCTGGGGAGCCCAGACCCACAGAATGCAGACCCTGCCCCGAGGTCTTAGGAGCTTGGCTGAAGCCTGAAGTGGCAAAGAAGCCTCTGCCTGATGCTGCCCTGGCCTAGCAGGATTTGAGGGACGGGGCAGAAGCTCACTCTGCGACCCCTATGGAAGGCGTGCAGGTCCCCTGAGACTCCCATACCCAGCGGTGTCAGTAGATTCAATATTTCAGAGGACTCTGAGGCGTTACAAAGAAAGGAACCCAAATCTAATTCTCTGTTGGGGGTTTAGTGGGGAAGCTCCCATTTCCTCATCTTGTGGACCCTGATATTCCTTTGGGATCCACCCACCTCCACTCTCAGTCCGTGTGCTTTGCATAGGGGTGATTTCACCCGACTGCAGAAGTGAGCAGATCAGCACATTTTAGTCTCTGGCCATAGGGATGGGTTCAGGCATGGTCCCATGATTCCAGCTGGTCTAGTGAGACTCATTCTGGGGAGCTCACTGGGGGGCTGTCCTAGTGTCCAAGGCCATAGTGATTGGTTCAGGGATGGGCATATGATACATGTTGGGCCAATGAGGCTCAGTCTCTTGGGAGCTCACTGCCAGGGGCTGCCTTGTTCCCCAAGGCCCCTTCTGTCAGGGTGATATCCCACCATGGGACATGAGGAACTTGGGGAGCATAGCAATTGAATGCATCCTCACTTAAAATACAACAAACTTGGCACAGATGACTGTAGAACATCCCTGGTTCCTCCCTCTGACCTGCCCGCCCTGTGTGTATAGCGCTTGGGGCCTCTCTGGCTGCACCTCCCAAACCCTTGGCAGCCTAGAGAAGCTCTGCTACCCCCCGAGCAGGAGGGCCTGCCCCCCTCCCCGGCATCCTAGGTCAGCCCACTCACCGTGAAGGATGCGGTACCATACACGCCCAAACTCGCCCTCGTCCGCATCCGTGGCTGTTAGCTGAGGGAGAATGAGACACATGGTTACTCCTTGAATTCCACTCAGGCAGAGGAGGTGTTTCTGGAGTCCCTCCCCTTCCCTCACACCACTCCCAGCCCGTCCTGCCTAAACCCATGGTTTCCCACGAGGCTGGGGGTGTGGGAGAGGAGAGAGACACATCTTTCTCATCCCCCACTAGGAAACCTGTCTGTTGATGGCCCCATGCTGCCCTGTCCATGGCGAGGCACCTGCCAGCTCTGTTCCCTGACCCTCCTCCAGGTTCTCGGGGAGCACGGAGGAGAAGGTGGGTGACAGCACTGCAGCTCTCTGGATCCAGGCTTGACTAGCTCAGCCCTCCACAGTTCCCTCCTTCAGCCTTTTGAGATTCCAGGAGCCTCACCTGGGGTAGGTGGATTGCATGACTGCTCCTTGCCCACACTTCCTTGGTCTGAAGCTATTCTAGTCACACTGGCTCCCAGCCAGGCACTGTATACTATAACAGCCACACTGGGGAGACCCAGAAATCCCACCTCCCAAAGGTTCCATATCCATTCACACCGGGATCATTCCAGTGTATTCCAGCCCACCCAGCTTGCCTGGCTGTACCTCAGGCTTATGGACTATCTCCAGGGGGACTTGGGGTACGCTCTTCTCACTCTGAGAATGCCCGGTGCTTAGCCCTTTTGACAAGGAGTCTGGCCTTGAGGCTGTTGGCAGTCACAGCTGGCCCTGAGGTGTGTCCTGTCAAACTGCGAGCTGAACACCTCCTCTACCTGCCACATACCGGAAAGGAGCAGAGAACTCCCCTGCAAAGTGATACAGAGAGAGGCCCGAGCCTGCCTGGCTGGGCAGGCTCCCATGGGGCCACAGTGCGTGTGACTCGCTTTGTAATGCCTGGGACCCTCCCACTTCTTCTGGATCTGCCCTCTTGTCTCTGCCAATCACTTCAACCCTGTGCTGTGCGTATAAGGATTTCGAAAAGTGTGTTGATGGTGGGGAGAAGGGGAAGTCTGTTGGTGTGAAAGGAACAGAGGGTCTGGGTCAGGAACACCCAAGCGTGAATCCTGACTTTGTCACTTACTGGCTATGTGGCCATAGATACGTAACCCCACTGAGCCTCAGTAGGTACAATGATAACCAACCTTGCGGGGTTGATTAGAAATAATCTCTGCAAAGCATCTGGTCTGATGCCTGGTGCAGAGATAGATGTTGAAGGTTGGACATTATGAGATAGGCCACCTTTTCCTGGGAGGCCCTCTTGATTTATACTGGAGGTGGTATGGCTGGGTTGCCCCTTGCTGTGGAGTTCTTCTTCTCTCCCATGAGAAGTCTTAAGAGCTAATAGGTGGAGGGATGTAGTGGGGCACTTCAACAGTCCGGATCTGGAAGGGCTCAGGGCAGGGGAGAGGGCCAAGCTGTCCAGTGGATGTCCTTGGGTGTCTTCCATCCGTGGTGGGACTTCCCCTGGCAGCCTGCACCACCCTGGGAGTGTTGCCTGCTACCATCTAAGAAGAATGAAGGCCATAGATGAGGTGTGCAGTCAGCTTGGGAAGAGAAGGTGAAGGAAAATGAGATTCACTGAAGGGCGAGGTGTAAGATGCAGGAATCCCAGCAGGAGCTCTGGGCAGTGGGAACATCCTTAGGCTGATGCAGCTCATAGCACCAGATGCCTGGTGCCCATGCCTGCCCACTCTTTTCAGGGAGAGCACCAAATCCTACCACTAACTTGCTGGGTGACCCTGGCCAGGCCACACCTCTTTAGACCTCAGTTTCATTATCTGAGAGACAGGGGGATGGATGAGATGACCCCTCAGTCGTCTAATGGACTTTGACAATCCTATCCGTTTGGGGCTATGCAGAGGACACTTCTTTTGTTGTCAAGGGCTAAGGGCAGGAGGGAAGAGCTAAATGCCAAAAACTGAGGCTCCAAAACAAGCAGGTGGAGCCCAGGCTCAGGTCTTGGGCAGAGCCACAACTCCTCACCTCCGTGTTATATTTCTGGGAGCTTGGGGGTCCTTGATGGGAAAGCTGCTGAAGACCTAGGCTCCTAAGCAGGCAGCTGGTTGCCAGGGAAGCGCTGGCTTCCAGGAAGAAAGGAGGCTGGGG